GGACCCGCCGCGCCCGGCCTCGGTCCTGCCTGCTGGGGTCTCCCAGCGCTGTGCGGTGTCCCCTTGCACAGGCGACCCCCCGTGTCTTGGCCATCAGCTGGTAAGGAGCCTCCTTTGCCTGCTCGTGCTTTTTTATGTCGTTTTTTGGAGGGTGTCATCGCAGCTGTCCGAGGGCTATCATCCGTAGAATATCGTGAGTTGGAAGGGACCCCACAGGATCATCCAGCTCCCAGCTGCATTCTTTTCCCTTACTCCAGAGCTTGTCCTTCTGCCTTTGTGTCCAGCTTACAAGAGTTAGCCTGGTTGACATGCCAGTGGTTTCACTATTTTCACCACACACCCCATGTTACCCTCAGGATGAGCAAGACTCTTTGCTCCTTGACCCACTGTAAAAAAGGCTCCTGGCATGTGCACCTCGCCAGGAGACCCTAGTGGCCCTTCCAGCCCTGCAGCACATGCTGCTCCTACTTCCCCTACTTCTTCCCCTTCCAAGTACCACAAACTCAAAAAGAGAACCAGCTTCCTTCCCAACAGTTTTATTGCAAGATTGTAGGGTAAAAAAGAAAAATGTGTAATAGCCTCGATGTGTTCTCAAAAATAACAGTATTCCTTTGTTCTCCCCAGATATCTTTTGTATGATGTAAACCCCCCTGAAGGGTTCAACCTTCGCAGAGATGTCTATGTTCGCATTGCTTCCCTTCTGAAGACCCTGCGGAAAAGCGAAAACTGGGTGTTGGTTATGCCTCCCTGGGGCCGTCTTTATCACTGGCAGAGCCCTGACATCCTCCAGGTCCGGATCCCTTGGTCTGAATTCTTTGATATCCCAAGCCTCAACAGGAACATTCCTGTCATTGAATATGAGCAATTCCTTGCAGGTGTGGTATAGGATCATGCAATCTATGATTAACTAAATATTTGATATGGTTTCTTAATAGGTTTGTCCTTATAGGGGCTTTTATCCTTTTATGTGGAAAAAAAAATCTTAGTGGCAAGAGGAGGAGGGATGGGAAGGAGTTTTGCTGAGCTACCCAACCACTAGGATGGAATAACCCTATTTCATCCTATATGGATGAAATACTTGGCAGCTTGATTGATGTAGCACTGCTGTCCCCTCGACTTTGAGGACTTCTGAAGACAATTAATGCCTGTGATTAAAATCCCCCGTGGTATTTCTGTGTGATTTTGACCATAATGACAAGAACATAGGGAGAGAGGCAGGTTGTTGAATTACAGACAAGCCACCTTTTTCTGGATGTGGGGGCTGGACAGTAAAAGTTGTAAAGTGGATTCTTCTTTGAACTTACTTTGTTGTCATCGATGCTTCACATACTTGAAATACCCCTTGCTTTTTCTGTCTGAGAGAAAGGCTTTCCATAAGAAAGTGAAATAGGTTCCTTTTGGATTTAATGCCATGTTGAACTAATCGCCAAATGTTCAAATCTGCAGCAGTGTCACAGGCTTGTTCAGCAAAGGAAATAAAGGCCACCAAATGTCACACCTCTATAAAGAGGTCTGAAGGGAAAGCTGTTCCCTGCCTTCCAGGAAAATGCATGTAGAGACCCTAAAATTTAGGGGAAGAAGGCCTTGTACTAGGCATTTTTCTTGGAGGCACTTCTCCTGTGGCATCTGCTTACAACACTGAAAACCTGTGTGCTTTGTGGTGTGTTTTACCTAGCTGACAGTGATTCCCTTGTGTTTGGCACATTAAATCACACAGAGCTGGGTGGAATAGCAGGTGGTCACATTGCCTGTGACCCTTTTAGCTTTTCTGTCTCACACAGAACTTTCTTCCCTTTTTTATAGGGAAAACAGGGAACAGAGAGTAGTGTAATACTAGCATTTCTAGCAGATTTTTAACTGCCACTGATGCCTGTACATACCTTTGCAATGTAGGTTTTTATGCTTACAAGTCCTTTGCTTTGCCTTCTGCTCAGAGTCAGGTGGGCCATTTATTGAACAGATTTATGTGCTCCAAGGCTACGCAGAAGGATGGAAAGAAGGAACATGGGAAGAAAAAATAGATGAAAGGCCATGCATTGATCAGCTGATGTACTCCAGAGACAAACATGGCTACTACAGGTAACATGGAGCAGCCCTTCTGTCCTTTTCAGTTGTATTCAGAGAGATATTTGCCTGCTGTGAATATCTGGGGTTCACTCTTTTTAAAAAGCCCATCAGTAATAAAATGTTTTATTGGTATGAGAAGATCTACTTCTGTAAAGTTGTTGCTCCACAGAAAAGCAGCATTAAGGAGGTGGCTGGTTTGTTTGTATCATATGTAGTTTGTTTAGGATGTTTTGTTCTATATATGGCATTAACTTAAAATACAAGCCTGTGAGCTGATCCTTTGTGTTCCCTTTTAGGGGCTGGTTCTGGGGTTACGAGGAAACACGAGGCCTAAACGCCTCTTGCTTGTCTGTCCAAGGATCTGCCTCTATTGTGGCTCCTATCCTTCTGAAGAACACTTCAGCACAGTGAGTTGCCTTGTTTAACTACTTATTGTTATTTTTATTTATTGTTATTGTTACTTTTGTTGTATTATTGTAAAACCCCATTGCTGGGTGGGAGGAGTAGGGGGAATTTAAAGGTTTATTGAGATACTTCATCACTGAATTATTGTCCTCTGTTAAAATCATTTGAAAAGGGATTTACACTGTAAGAAACACTTAACTGTAAGTTAAGGTAAAGAACGCAGTGCTAAAACCGAAGAGTAGATAGCCTTGACCTCCTTTATATTCCCTCTCCGGCAGCTTTTGTGACTCCTACCTCCAAGGCAGCATCAAATATCCCTTAGATCATGCAGTGGAAAAGATGCTGAACCATCAGCTATTCCATATTCTACTCCACACCACATGTAATTTTACATCTCTGGCATATTCCCCCTCAGTAGTCTCCTCTGCAGTGGGAAGAGTTCTGGCTCCTTTAGTTGTTCTCCATGTAAAAGCCATTCCATACATTTGGCTGTCACTACTGCCAATCTCTGAACCTTTGCAGTTCAGCAGGATCCTGCAGGCTAAGCGTGAGTAAACCTGTTACATTGCAGTACAAGTGACATGCTCTCTCAAGTGCTCTCTTCTTTCTCTTCTAATTCTTGAGACACATGTTCCTTATTTTGACCTCTGAGTGTTTTCTCAATGTTTGCATCAAACTGTCCTCATTCCTGACCATCAAGACCTTTAGTTATTAGATGAAGCCAGGCTTGGGTTTGTTTTTTTTACTACACTCACTCCTATGTTAGATTTCATCTGCCACTTCATTGGCTGGTGATGAGACTTCCTTAATTCTTCATAGTTGGCCTTAGCTGCTCTGAGGAATTGAAAATAATTAAGCTGTGTCATCTGATTTCATGCCCTTCTGTAGGTTTAGAAATATGGTGAAGAGACCTTCCACGTGTGAACTCCTTCTGCAATGAGAACCATACATTTATCCTTGTCTCTAAACTTTTTTGTTGTTGTTTTTTGGTTTTTTTTTTATTCATGCAAGAACCTTTCTGTGCCAAGTTTTCTTAAAAGCCTTTAATGAAGGCTGTCAGGAAATGTTGTTAGGCAATGCCAGTGAGGTGTCCCTTACCTTCATCTGAGTCAGTGTCTTCAAACTACTCTGATTGGTCTGAGAGTTCTGATCTCTCATATTGCCCTTCTGGCTGGACAGCCAGTTGTGTGGTCTTAGGACTGAGCTTTTACCCTTCAAGTGTGGTCACTTCAAGGAAACTTCTCACTGCATTTGGATTAGTAACCTCATTCCCCTTCAATCTTCCTGTTAGATGCAGTGCTGCTTCTTCACCAGCACAGTCTAGTCTTTTTTCCAGGTAATTTAAAGCCTTCCATGCAGGTGTCCAGCTGATTATCAGCAGAGATAATCCAAAGTTGATTGGTTATTTGCTTCCTCTCTTTTTTGCAGGAGATGCAGATAATGACCTTGATTGTTTTGAGCAGAAGCATTTCTTTGTGTGTTGGCTTATCATCAGTGTGCTCACAAACTAAATCTACATCTCTTATGTTCCGGGATACTTGAAAATCTCAAAATCTCGTCTGCTTCTTAGAACTTGGATAGTGCAGTAAGGTTTCCAGTACACAATCCTGAACCATGTTTATCTATGAGAAACGCAAGCTACTGTCTAATACCACACATTTTGGTAATGTCTCTGTGTTCTTCTCTGTTGTTTTACTGTACGACATTTTATTCTGCATGTAGAAAACACTTTCTCTGGGTTTGTTTCCATGATCTTCTGCTTCCTCCCAGAGGCTGTCATGTGCTCTGAGGCTGAGCATTATCACACAGGTCACTTCTTCCCTTTGGGTCGCTCTCCCTGTCAGAAATCTTATTTCTCCTGAAGCAACTCTTGCAAGGACTGTGAGGGGTGATTCATGCTTGTTCCTGTTTAACTTTCAGAGTCAGGATACCATTTATTCAGGAACAGAGCAGGCACAGGGAGTGGCATGGTTCCCTTCTCTTCCCAGCAGACTGTGGGTCACAATTTGCCTTGTAGAGAACTAGAATGTGCCTCACAGGAGCCTGTCCCTCATTCCCCACTCTCCCTTTGCAAACAGATCATAATCTGCATTTTATCCTAGCAAATGTATAAAGAAACATCATAATGTCAATTCTATTCCTAAGGGAACTGCACTCAGTTTTACAATTTTCAATAGGTCAGTGATGTTAGACAGAGCTGAAAACCTTCTTCATGACCACTACGGAGGGAAAGATTATTGGAATGTGAGTATTTTACAGATAGCTTCTCAAGACTTTTTACTTGACTCTGCTAAAAAAATTAGTAACCAATGTGTGCTTCAGCTTTGCCTTAGGATTTTTGTCTTGTAAGTAACTTTTGTCTTCTGTTTCAGCAATGTGTACTAGCATGGTTTTCAGGCTGCTGTGGATTAGTGTGACACAGGAATTTGTCCTGCTGTCTTGTGCCTAAAGGCCCAGTGCTGCAGGGCGTGGTGATTAAAAGACCTCCCCTATACAACACCTCTACAAACAGAAGGCAGCAGTTTCTTATGTAGTCAGCCTCAAGATTAGTCTTTTCAAAAGAATTCTATGAAGTGCTCATTATTGTCCCAAATCCCTCCCCATTTGCTTTAAAGGTGAAATTCCCATGGGTTTCAGGCAAAGGTCTATGGTAAAATAATTTCTGTCATAAAGGTTTTAAGGAAATGTTAAGGTCCAGACACAGGAGAATGGAACATGGTATGGAGTGGTTGATATAGTTAAAATTCCTAAGAGAAACTGATTCCCATGGTATTAAAAAACAAATTACACATACCTCAGTCTTAGAAGCATCTGGCTCTTCACTTGGAATATGGGATGTTTTCAGAAGTGGACCAAACAGTAGTTTGCTAGCTATGAATTGTTCATTGAGAGTGACCTCTCAAAGAAAGAAATGCAGCCCAGGTACCATGCTGGAGTACGACTTGTCCTGTAAAAGCAGACATGAAATCCACATGGCCCCATAACACACATTTCGTAGCAGTGGCACTTTAAACATGGCCCCAGTGGTTTTGTCTGATGCCAAATCAGAAATTTACTCACTGCAGCCTGGGCCCAGGGCCTCTTCTCTTTTTTCCATGCTCCTCTGAGAAGCATCTCTCCTTTCTCTATTTCTTTGCAAAGAGGGAGAAATTGGGATTTCCTTTGTTTTTTTGCCTGTTAGTAAAAAGGCCGCTTGTGGCTATGTGCACTGGCAACTTTATCACGGAATCTTAGAGATTATTATTGACAGGTTAAGGAAATAATTCCTTTTTTGTCACTTTTCCACTGAATTTCATAGGCATGTCTGTGGCTAGATGCCTAATATATTTAAAGCAGGTTTTATTCCTACAGGTGTTTTGCATGCTAAAGTGTTTGCCCAGCTTTTGTTTCCAAAAGTAAGGTATATTGCTAGGGTGTTTAATTTGGTATATTATATGTTCTGTTGTGTGAATAACTGCAGTGTCCTCCTTATACCTGTGTATTGCAGGGACAGGTGAGTATGCTGGTTATAAAGGTGATGATAATTAGAAATAAGCTGTTTAAGCTTGGATAAACGTCTAGAAATCATTGCTTAGGGTACTGCATAGATGTACCAGAAGTAACTGCATCCTGGAAGTGCTGTGTGTGTGAAACTGTCTGCACCGACTCATTTTTAGCTCCTTTTTCTGACTCAGTGTCTGCTCCTATTCCAACAGACCCGTCGGAGCATGGTGTTTGCTAAACACCTCCGCATGGTAGGAGATGAGTTTAGGAAGAAATACCTTCAATCCACCGACGAGGTAGACAGGACTCAGTACAAGGAGGACTGGACACAGATGAAGGTAAAGTCCTTAACAGTGGATTTATTCCCCATAACAAATACTTCATTTGTGTACTCCTGGCTGTGTGCTGCTAGGCATGTTGGAAGGTACATGTGAGTGACTCTTCTGCTCATGTCGAGGTGGACACGTGTGTTCCTCATGGACCTTCTCCCTGCCTGACACGAGCTAATAGAGTCTGCCAAGGTGTGCCTGACTTGTTCTGATGGCCAGATCTTTGTTGTCCTCATTTCAGTGAGGGAAACTTGAATTTCTTCTTGTATTCAGCACTACGTGTGGGTGTAAAGTTCAGCTGCCAACTGCTAGTTGAGGATTGATTTGGTCAAGGAGAGAAATTTGTGCTTAGGAAGATTTAGCACTCCAGTTTCTCTTGTATGTCAGAGGCCATCCAAGATCTAAATGTTGCAGCAAGTGTCCCAAGTTACTTCCAGTCTGTACTTAAAAATTTCTGTCTGCAACTGGAGTCATTCTGTGCCTTATCCAGAGATGATGCGTTCTGGCTTTTCAGTGTGAACAGTGATCCTCCCAAGTCCTTTAAGACTTTTGATCTTTCCCTCATAGGTTAAGACTGGCACAGCTCTAGGTGGCCCATACCTTGGGGTTCATCTCAGAAGGAGAGACTTCATTTGGGGTCACAGAGAAGATGTGCCTTCCCTGCAAGGAGCAGTAAAGAAAATCCACAGCCTATTGGAGAGGCTTAAACTCGAAAAAGTTTTTATAGCCACTGATGCTGTTGAGGAAGGTAGGCAGATCGCAGTCATTTCAGGGTTGGTAACTTTTGACAATGAGTGCAGCAATTGCCACTGGCTCCCCTCCCTGGCTGCAATACTGTAAATTTTAGTAGCTGTATTCTAAAATTTGTTGATTTGGTGATTTTGGTGTCACATGCTCTGTAACTGTTCACCCAGGGTTCCCTTAAACAAACACATTGAGTGGCAGCAGCGAGTTGCTCTTCATAATGTAGAGATAAATTTGTATGCTTCCTTTTTTAAGAGATTGAACTGCTCAAGAAACTGCTGCCCGAGATGGTGAGGTTTGAAGCCTCTCTGGAGGAGCTGGAACTCTATAAGGATGGGGGCTTGGCTGTGATTGACCAGTGGATTTGTGCGCATGCAAGGTAGCAAATCTGACTTTAATTTCAGCCAAAGCTTAATGTCATTGTCACAAAACTGAGTATGATTTTTGGCCCATGGTTGTTTACAAATTGTGTGAGACATTATATAATTGGTTATATATTATATATATTATCTCTTATATTATCAGTTATATGATTGAGATGTGTCTAGTAGATGTATAATGGTTATATTGTGTGTGTATATGATGATTTCATTATCATATCATTTCACTGAACAGTGAAGTTTATTGGACTGAAATCTAATTGCTTGCATTTTAAAAACTTGCCCCCCCCCAAACCCTTTTTGATTTTTTTTCACAGGTATTTTATAGGCACCTCTGTTTCAACATTTTCCTTTCGAATCCACGAGGAACGGGAGATCTTGGGATTTGATCCAAAAACAACTTACAACCGATTCTGTGGTGAAACAGAGAAAAACTGTGAGCAGCCTACTCACTGGAAAATTGTATATTAAGCACAGAGAAACACAAAGGTTTTTAATACTGTTAGAGTTCAAAATAATAAGGAAGAATGATGGGGAATTATTTGCCTTGGAACAAAGTATGACCCAGTCCTGTACTCTCAGCTCCTGCTCCCCTTCCAGCATGGGTGTGACATGGGGTAGCTGTACACTCCAGTGTCTCTGGACCTCACAGCATTTCTATGTGGCTGCTGCACCTGGGTCCCCAGTATGTCCTGCTCTGGTTGCCTTCCTTGAGTGGTCCCATGGTCGCACTGTATTAGGAATGGCGATGGTGACAACACAGACTCTAAAGCTTATTTGCAAAAGAGAGCGTGTTTTATTCTTCAAGATCCTTTTTTATAGTCAGTTCCAAAAGGGTCCAAAGGGGTAAACTTGCATTGGCCATCAAACCAACACATCACCGTCATTAGACAGTTAGGAACAGTGCCCCTCGACTGTTTCTTGCAAGTAAGCAACAAGGAGGCAAACAGCACCTGCAAAGGTTGTTTCCCTTCTCCAAGGGCTGTTTGAGCTCCTCCTCACAATTTCTCAGGCCACACTTTCTCGGGCCAATGTGGGAAAGTTATGTGACTTAGTTTCACACAGATACTATGCTACCTGCCTGATCTTTTACATTTAACATCCACAGTCCCATGTGCACCAAGTGGGTTGCTCCAGCCCACAGGGGCCTCTTGGCTGCAGAGCTTGATGATGGGAGGCAGCAAAGCAATGGCCAGGATGTGGCCGTTGAAACCAGCCTCATCTGCTGGAGCGTATCTTTCTTACCTGTCCATGGTTCTCTCTGTGGGTCTGTGGTCATTTTTTAACTCCAGGGCTGGGGGACCTGGCCATGTCACCAGGAGTGCTCGTGCTGGGAGCACCAGTCTCTACCTAGGGAGGAACTAAGCTGCCACCAAAATAAAAGAGGGGGGTGTGGTGCTGCTCCCACTCCCTTTGGGGACTCACCTTTCATGTGAAGGCACGTTGCCTAGCGGAGAAAGAGGTTGGTACCTGGTGGAGAAGGGCCAAGATTCCATTTCCCCAAGGCAGCTCCCTCCTCTGCCTGCTGCAGCAGGCTCCTCTCCCAGGGCTGGGAGAGGAGGGTGGGTGTGTTCAGCACTGCTGCTGGAATGGGGGCAGAGCTGGTGGCCCTCTCAGGAGAGGGTCCTGGTTGCTTCAGGGCCTTGCTTCTCCACTGCTTTGTGTCCACAAAGGAAAGAGATGCAAGAAGGCAGCACCACCACCACAGCCCTGTACCCAGGAGTACATCAGCCTTCCCCACAGTGAAGGTGGTTCAACTCTTAAAAGTGGGTAGTAAACTCAGCACCACTGCATATCTACAGAACAGCATTTTATCCACAGGGGGCGTCTGACACTCATTGCCCATTATGTGTCTGGAGGAGTTCAGGGGCTCATTTCACATCTCCACAAGTGGGTCCAGAACCAGACATACAGAGCAACACCAGATTCTCACAGTGTACCAATAGAAACAGACATCTAGAAGAAAAAATCTAAATGTAAAAATCAAGATGTTGGTGCACGCTGATACAGTATTTCTGTTTTCGAGCTCAGCAGGTATATTCTTTCCTCCTTCCCTTCTTGTGTAAGCCCCCTGTAATTTCATTACATTTGGCTTTTGTCATCTATTTTTAGCTGAATAGTACTGATGGTGTCAGTCATACTGTGTCCAGGATTCATCTCTAAGTCAGCCCTGCTGCTCAGACCTCAGCACATCAGGGAGTAACGTGCAACTCCTGGTGGTCCCAATTGCAGCAAAGTTTCAGCCAAGGGTTTCATGTGTCCCCTTGCTGCTGGGTGGTGTCCTGCAGTGCCCCTTCATCACTTTTGAGAGTGCCTCCAGCTGAGGTATCAGGCTGCTGGACTGGGCTTTCCAGTGAGATCCAGCTCCAAACAGAATTTGGGAAATAGCCTCCAAAATGTTTTAGGATCATACCTCTGAAATGGCTCCAAAGGGCAACAGCTCCAGCACAAATCTGTCCCAGCCCTGGCTCACTGACACACACAAGAAGCCAAGTGGGCTGGGCTCCTCACTCCTCTGCCACCTCCTCCAGCTCCCACCCGAGGGAAATGGAGGGAAACACAGAAGCATCAGGGCAGAACAGTCGGCTGAGCTGCCTGAGCCTTTTTCCTGCATCTTTTGGGTGGAAGCTTGGGCTTTTTGGGCAGACGGTGCCCCTGTAAACTCAAGGCTCATTTAACCTTGGTGCACGATTTCATGAAGACAGGCTGGGAGAGGACTTTGTCTTGCTGCTGTACTGGGGAAGGGAATGTGGGAGGTTCCTGCAAAGTCCTCGTGGAAGTTGGAATGTCTGAGGATATTGGTGTACCAGTTCTCAGGGATGAACCTCGCTCCTGGCTGTCTGTAGATGCATGTATAGTGTAGGAGTATAATGGGCGCATGGGGGAGACTTCTCTAAACCAGGCTGCTCTTGGGATAAGCAGTTTATTATGTGGTGGAAGAGATCCGTTTACGCTGCCAGCCACAGTGTAAATGTGGTTAAAGGGAGAGAGAGTGGAAAGAGGGGGTCGAGAGCATCAGAGTGGTAGGTAATTATGGGGGTAGAGAGAAGGGCAAGGGGGGAAATCAAGAAAGATTAAGAGAGTGAAGTTCTTGTTACAATACATTACATTACATCTTTTTCTATGGTGAATATTCTAATTCCCAGTAACTAACCAGTACATGACACACATTCTATAGAATTTACATATAGCCTATAAGAACTACTACATTGCCATAAAGTGTTACATTTTAAACTCTAAAAGCTATTCTTTAAATTCTTCCCTTGCTGCTCCAACCTTTGGATTCACTGTCAGCAGAAGGGTATTGTTCAATCAGCAGGGATTCTCCTTCAGCTGGCTAGGCTGTTGTTCTTTGGTTATATAGTGACTAGCACTCAGTATCCTATAGGTCAAAGCTAGTTTTCATTTCTATTTTGATTATAGGTTTCATATTTTCAGAATCTTTTGCTAAACAATTATATTTATAAGGTTTCCCTGTTTCATCTTCTCTAACAGTATAGAACATGCTGTTTCATTTTTTGGCATGATTTCCTATGTGTAATTGGTTTTTTTAGTCAAGATAACATCATGGAGAGGCTTGTTTGTATTTGAGGTAGAATTAAATGAAATCTGGTTTTTTTATAGTCTTTTAATCTGTATTATTGGGATTTTATTTTTGTTTATTGTATGTAGAGCTTCAGATTGGCTAGGGCCAGCAAGCTCGGCTGCTGGAGTCTGGCGTGTTAATTTATTTAGATGGCTTTTGTTAGATTCAGTTTTTAATTTTTGAAGGTTTTTAATTATTATTTAGTTTATTTTATTATTTAGGTTTGAAGGTGGTTTTTAAGAATGGATTGTATAATTTTATTTAGTTTTCAGTTGCTGTATGATAAAGGATATGGTCTACTTCTTCAGTGTTGCACTTTTTAGTTTAGGTGTTCATAAGTTTAGACTTTTTTCCATTTTGGTAGTTTTTATTAGTTTTACTTTTGGGGACATGAGCATTTATATGGTGGGTGTTTATAGGCAATTTTTTACTTCATTCAGTTAGTGATACTAATTTTTTAAAACTTTAGATTGATTTTTTTAATGTTTTTAATATCTTTTGTTATTTTAAAAATTATTTTAATAGAGTATTGGTTATGATTTGTGAATTACTATAAAGGTAGAGCTTTGGGGTTTTTTTTTTTAGTAATCTTTAGGGTCATTTGTACAGTTTTGAGTTTAGTGAGCTGGTTTCATTTATTTTTTTACGGTATTTTGTTAGTAGCTATTTCATTTTAAATGTATATTTGAGTTTTTTTTGGTTTTTGAAATACTTTTTTTGGAGAAGTTTATGTTTAAAACATATGGGATTTTGGGGCTAGGTATACTTGGATTTTTTTTATTTATAGTTAGGTTTATTTTTTGTTTTTAGTAGGGTTAAATGTTGTGATTTTTTTGTTCCGTTAGCAATAGAAATAGCTTTTGATTTTATATGGTATGGGGGGATTAGTGTGTACTACATACTAGAGTCCCCTTAGGCTTTAGATTTTTGTGGCTCTGATGTGTAGGGTTAATGAATTGATATGGTTTAAAATATAAATAAGTAAATATAAATAAAAAATAAATAGAAAATTATAAGTGTATAGAATAATTATAATCATGTAAATATTAAATATAACTATAAATATATAAATAATCTATAAATTATACACTATTATTAAGATATATTACATATTAGTATAATATATGTAAAATATATAACATATAAATATGATTATAAATATGAACATGAAAAATATAAATAGAAAAAGTTATTGAAATATAGGTTAAAATAAAGTTATTGCTTTTATTTGGTTAGATGCAGGATTTTTTTTATAAAAATATAAATATTTTTATATATAATAAATATATAAAGATATATGCATCTGTACACAAAATACAAGTCATAGAAATATATTAAAATAGATATATATATTATGAATAATATATGTATATACATTATTATACTGTATACTAGTTATTATATATGTTCTATATATAAATACAGAATATAAATATAAATTATGAATATAAAGATGATTAAAATAGATATAATAAATATTACATAATAAACACAAATATATAATATATATTATATATTAATATATATTATATTAATATATATATAAATTATATCTATAAAAAATAAGTAAATATCGTTTAAAATAAGGAGCTTTTTAGTTTTGGTCGGGGTTTTTTTGGGCATTTCTTTTAGAGGATTTTTTGGAAGGGGATTGCACACGTTGTTTTTTGCCTCCTTTCTCTGCCTGTTCCCTGAAGCGCACCGCAGCCCCGGGTGAGCTCGGCGGCAGCGCCGCTGCCTTGTGGCCACAGAGCGGCACTGCCGCTGTCCCCTGAGCCAGCGCCCCACCTCCTCGCCGGTGAGTGGCGGGGAGGGAGCGGCAGCGGGGGGCTCTGCAGCTGCCGAGCGTGGGAAGGGCGAGGGGCGGCAGCGAGGTTCATCCCTGAAAAGAAGGAGCAGCAGCAGCGAGTGGGGCGGTATCTGTAAATAGAGGGGAAGGGTGAAGGAGAGTTAGGTGAAACAGAGAAATTAAGAATTAGGAATCATTTGTAAAATTGCTTTGCATAAAATGAACGGCTACAAAACCCGTGTGAAATGCTGACTGTTCCCATAATAGCAGGAAGAGAACAAAGACTATAGGATAAGGTAAGGAGCTGGAATACGTAAACAGGATACAAGCCTAAATGCGCTATAGGATGAGGGGCTTACTTGAATTCTTTTGGACCCCTAAGCCAGAGGAAATGGAAAGAGGGGGCTCAAAA